CTAGAATGCTGGGGTTATAGGTGTGTGCCACCATACAGGAGATTTTTAGAGGATCCATTGAACTGTTTATTGATTATTCTGTATAATCTCGGTGTAACTCATGGGTGTTTTGTTTTGTTATGTTTGGTACCTGGGATTGAACTCCGAGACCTGTGCTTGAACTCCAAGACCTGTGCTTGCAAGGCAGGCAGCAGAACCACTGAGTTACATTCCTGGTCTGATCATGGGTTTTGTTTGTTTTTTGATATGAGGGATTGAATTCCTGGTCCTTGTGCTTGCAAGGCAGGCAGTGGAACCACTGAGCTAAATCCCCAGCCAATCATGGGTTTTTAAGGCTTTGTCAAAGTGAAATTAGAATTATGTCCAGTAAATCAAAGCAGTAGCCCAGTTTACTTGCGCCATCTTTATCAGTGTTGAGGATGTACCCAGGATCTTCTACCACTGAGATACACCCTCAGCCTGCCTGTGTGCCAGACTCTTGCTGTGTAGGCCAAGCTCCCCTCAAACTATCAATTTGCTTGAGCCTCCCAGGTAGCTTGGATTACAGGCACATTCCACCATGCCTACCTCTTATTTTATTTTCATGAAACTTGCATAGACTTCCAGGTAAAAAATTTAGGAATTTCATGGGTTCTATCCTTCAATTGTGATACTGAGTAATGCTTTAAATGTACAATATAGCTACTTTGTGGGCATTTTTTATATTGACTAACACCTGCGGAATTTATGTAGGCTTCACCATGGTCTAGGAATGTTTCCTGGGCTTATTTGAAAATAGTGAATCATTAAAAGCACAGAGGAAGAGATGGTTATTAAGCCTATTCCTTTTACTGTCTTGGATTGGAATGTTAAGTCCTAATCAGAGAAGCTGACACTGGCCATCGAATACCTGGAGTCCAGGTGATAATTCTGTGTTCTTAACAGAAACATAGGCCTCTGCTACCAGAACGTAGAGGGCAGAGAGACCTTATTGGAAATCACTCTGCTTGTGGAGATCGTGGTCAAGATGATGAAGTGTAGCATAGAAGAATGTGGGGGGGGCAGGGATTTAGCTCAGTGGTTCCAATGCCTGTCTGGCAAGCACAAGGCCCTGTGTTTGATCCCCAACATAACAACAACACAATATGGGGAGGTTTAGAATTTTCTGAGCTTCAAAGTTGTTCAGTTATTGGAAGTACTTGGTCAAAACCCAAGTTGTGTACCATAAAACAAAGGAGCATTTCTTAGCCAGGGATTTCTCAAAGTTTATAGTAAGGAAGATCTAAGGAATCCCTTTGAACAATCACTGTTTCTTTGCCACAGGGAGTAACTTACAGAACTTGGTCACCTCCAGGAGGTGTTAGTCCTATCCATTTGATTTCTTTGTGTCCATTTGAATTTTCAAGAAATTTTTTAATATATTCTGGTAGATCAAAATCCTATAATTTCAACACTGATTATGATCAGTATAAAATAGAGGTGGTCCCCCCCTTTTTGTTTTTTGAGACAGGGTCTCACTATGTAGTCGAGACACTGACCTAGAACTCTATTTTTAGCCCAGGCTGGTCTCAACTCACAGCAATCCTCCTGCCTCAGCCTCCCGAGTGCTAGGATTACAGGCGTGCGCCACCTGCCCGGCCATCACTTTTAATCTTAAAGGCTCTCTAGACATCACATTTGATAAGATAGCTAGAGAATGTATTTTTATTGGAAACCTGAAAGATGAGTGAGGAAACTGTAGAAAGCATTCAGTATACAGAGGATATAGAGTAGAATAGGTCTACTGAAAAAATGAAGAAAGTGTAGCTAATGGATGACAAGCTAAGGAGAAAATATTTTGAAATGAGTTAGAATTGGAGCTCTCCAAGTTCCCTCAGTCTTACATAGCTTCTTAAGAAATTACACAGCTGAAGTAGGTTGTTGTGTCTTTGACCACAGAAGTGTCTTATTTTTTTAATACTACTTTCATGACCGGCTTTTTGTTATTGTGGTATTTTTTTTTTCCAGTTTTGGTACTGGAGATTAAATCCAGGGCTTTCTACAATGAGCTATATTCCCCAGCTCCCCACTTTTTTTCTCTTTATTTTTGGTGCCAGGGATCCAACTCAGGACCTTCCACTTGAGAGGCAGGCAGCGGCGGAACCACTGAGCCCCCCAGCCCTTTTATTTTATGTGATAACCACGTCTACTTTTCTCCTTCCTCTCAGTATTCATTTTATTATTGCCTTTAGGTTTTATATCTCTCTGGTTTTGGTAATACTGGTCTTATAAAATGAGGTGGAAAATGTTCCCTCATGTGTTTTCTGGAAAAGATTTTGCAAAATGTTTGGTAGAATTCTCCAAGGAAATTGTCATTATTAGTCTTCCTGGAGATTTATCAATTTTATCGATTCCTGCTTCCCCCCCACCAAGAGCCATCGTTTTGTTTCATTGACTTTTTTCTATTTCTCTATTTTCAGTTTTATTTATTTCAGCTCTTAATATTTTCTTTTTTTTGGCTTGTTCGTCTAATTTGTCTGGCTTCTTAAGGTAGGAACTTAGATTATTCACTTCAACAATTATGTATTTGTAGCATAAGGATCCATACTATACAATCCTAAATTTCTTTGTAATGGCTGCCAGGAAGGAGTCTCATTTTTCCTATGTTATTTTTTTGGGGTTTTTTTGAGGGGGGGATACCGAGGATCAAACTTGGGTCCTTGGGCTTGATAGGCAGGTGGCGGAACCTCTGAGCTAAATCCCTGGCCCTCGTTTTTCCTATTTTAAATTGGTTTCTCTTATTTTGTTTTCTTTTGTGTGTATGTGTGTGGTGCTGAGGATCAGACCCAGGGCCTTGTGCATGCTAAGCTCACATTGTACCACTGAGACTATACCACTAGCCTCCATTTGCTTTTATTTTTCTTGCATTACAATTTAAACAAACCTGCCTCTCCCCAAACAACAATAAAATAGAAATAAAGGAAACAATATAAACTAGCAATATTCTTTTTTAGGGGGGTGGGTACTGGGCATCAAACCCAGGGACTTGTGCTTGCAAGTCAGGAGGCAACACCACTGAGCTAAATCCTCGGCCCCGTATATTCTTTTTCCTTTTCGGGGGGCAGGTTGAGACAGGGTCTCACTATGTAGTTCAGACTGCTCTAGAACTCACTGTGTAACCCAGGTTGGTCTCGAACTCACAACATCCCAAGTGCTGGAATTACAGGCTTGCGCCACCACTCCCAGCTTCCTATATTCTTTTTAAAACTGAGATTTTTTTCAGTAGCTACTTAGACTAGAAAGGAACAAATGACTCTATCAGCTTTTTTGAAATTTTTAATTCAAGAGTATTGGGTTTTTTTTGTTGTATAAGCCTGATACCTTTTAAAAGAGGCATGAGAAGGATATAGGATGTACTCCGGAGCAGAGTGTGGGTGCTTATAGAAATGAGGTTCAGAATTACCTTTGCGGATTGTGATAGAAATTTATTTTTAAAACTCTTGAAGTTTAGTTTAGGGAGCGAGCGCTTTGGGTAAAAGTGATATAATAGACGTAGGAATGCCGAGGATTTGGCTCGGTGGCACAGTGCCTGCGTGGCAAGCACAAACCTGCCTGACTGAGTTCAGTTCCTGATACTGAAAAAAAAAATAGACATAAGAGCTTCTGAAGCTACACAGAAGATATCAGTGAAATCGTAATAAAATTGTGGGGTTTTTTTCGATACATGGGATTGAATTCAGGACCTTGTACGTCTAAGGTGGGAACAGCACCATGGAGCTAAATCCCCAGCATGTATCTTTTATGTAATTTCCTTTTGATTTGAGCTGGTGTTCAGCAGACATCTTTTTTTCTCTTAATTTTTTTTTTTTTTTTTGGTCCCAGGGATTGAACTCGGACCCTGCGCTTGCAAGGCAGGCAGCAGAACCACTGAGCTAAATCCCTGGCTCTTAAATTCTTTTATTGGTACATTTTAGGTATGCAATAAATACATTTACATTCATCATTGGGAACTTGTACCTTTACATGATGTATCTTGGTCCTTGTTTTTCCTCATTCTCTTCCCTCAGTAGACAATATTAACCATTCTGAGCTTGTTTTTTTTGTTGTTGTTTTGGTTTTTTGAGACAGGGTCTCACTATCTAGTTGATACTGCCCTGGAACTCACTGTGTAGCCCAGGCTGGTCTCGAACTCACAGCGTTCCTCCTGCCTCAGCCTCCTGAGTGCTGGGATTACACACGTAACCCCCACCCTCACACCCACACTCCCTCAATTCACCTAGAGGACTGGTTGAGGATATGATCTTTCGGGGATCACTATTACAGATTAAACCCAAGGGCATTCTAACACTGAGCTACATCTTTAGCCCCTGGCTTTTTTTTTTTTAAGTTTTTCTTGGTGGGGACCCAATCATGGGTGTGGAATTTTTTTATGGTAAAACATAGCCCCCTCCATAATTGGAGTACTATGGAGATTTTATTAAACAAAACTTAATGATTCGATCAGAGTTCAGTTAGCACAAGAGAAAGTCAAGGACCACATCTGTTTTATTTACTATTGTGTCCCTAGCACTATGACTAGCATATAAGCATTTAACGTGAATTGCCAGTGGGGCAGAAGTAATACTGTCTTTTCCAGAAAGTATCATTATAAAGCAGTGGCGATTAATTCCTGGTATTTCTACTACTTTTGTTATGTATGGATTATGTGACAGTCACAGGCGGTGCTTAATTTGTGTTTACACCATCTGGCCACATCCTGAAATTATGGTCCAATTATTTGTGAATCCTTTAGGCTCAAGTTAACCAATTTTTTCATGTGATTTCACTTGTAGATACTCATATTTGTATAGTACACTGGGAATAATCTGAGCCAGGAAGCTGCTTCTCATCTGGTCCTTCACGGGATCTCTCAAAGTCTAAGGGAATCAATGTCTACATTACAGTTGTAACCCAACCACAGCGTGGTTGTGGGGGTGGGGAAGCTATGCTTATTAGACCTTACTTTAAAAACTTGTTTTTTATGTTATCTTTCTCCATTTTAGTGTGGAAATTGGTGAAAGTGTGCGTGGGGAAGATGTTTACATTGTCCAGAGCGGTTGTGGTGAAATCAACGACAATCTAATGGAGCTTTTGATCATGATTAATGCCTGCAAGATTGCCTCAGCCAGCAGGGTCACCGCAGTCATCCCGTGCTTCCCATATGCCCGGCAGGATAAGAAGGATAAGGTAGGAGCAGAATCTTTTTTCAGCAGGGAAAATAGGAGTATTGCTCCGAGAGTCACAAGAAGTTCCTTAACTATCAGATACATAAATATGGGGTATTTTACAAATCAGACTTCCTTAGGTGTTGCCCTATCTTCAAAACAGTAGACATAATTAGTTTGTATAAAAACGCATTTGTGTTCTGTTATTTTATTCAAGTCATACATATGTAACTTCAGTTAGCTCAGTACGTCTAAGCCCCAGTCCTGTGGAGAATATATTTAAAATACAGTAGATCCTCTAGTCAGTTGTATTGGTGTGCAACTCAGTAGATGGGGTTCCAGCTACTCAGGAGGCTGGGGACTACTGCCTGAGCCCAGGAGTTCAAGAGTAGCACGGGCAATCTGGCAAGACCCTATCTCAAAAAACAAACACAAGCCAGATGTGGTGGCACGTGGCTGTAATCCCAGCAGTCTGGGAGGCTGAGACAGGAGAATTGCAACTTTGAGTCCAGCCTGCCTGAAGAACCTAGCAAGACCCTGTCTCGATAAAATATAAAGAAAAGGGCTGGGGAATATAGCTCAGTGTGGTGGCCCTGGGTTCAATCCCCAGTACTGAAAAAAAAAACCTTGTACACCCCCTCCCTCAAAAAACCCTACAGTAGATCTTCTCAAGGTACCCTAAGATTGGGGTCTTGGTTGTGACGCCTTCATAAAATTTGAAGTCTATTATATGGGTACTTGGTTATACGTATTTTATATGGTATATTGAGGAAAAGCTTGTAATTCAAACTTTACAAGTATATTGTAATTTCTTTTTTTTTTCCTTCCTACTACTGGGAATCAAACTCAGGACCTTACACTTGCCAGGCACGTGTAGCACCACTGAGCCAAATTCCTGGCTGTTGTAATTTCATTTTTAAAACGTTTCTAATTTTATATTTTAAGGTTTTAGATTTTGTGTTATAGAGGGGGAGGGTAACTGAACTACATCCCCAGTGCTCCCCCTTTTTTAAATTTTGAGACAGTCTTAATAAGTCACTGAGTTGCCCAGCCTCACTTTTCTCTACCTCAGCCTCCCAGGGTGCTCGGTTACAGGTGTACAGCACTATGTCCAGTTTTTGTTTTTCCAGTGCTATGGATTGGACCCAGAGAGCACTGAGCTACATCCCCAGCCCTTCAATTTTTTTATTTGAGACAGTCTCATTGAGTTGCCCAGGCTGGCCTTGAAATTGAATCATCCTATCTCAAGCTCCTGAGCAGCTAGGATTAAAGGGTTTGCACCACCACACCTGGCTGCAATTCAATTGTAATCAATGCCCATTGTTTACATGGAGAGAAAGGTCAATATTTTTACTTCAACTTAGCACATCATATTATAGCAAAGACTTTACTATCTTATTGTGCAACAGGCCTGTTGGCCTTTTATTTAAGGGAGTTGAGGTTGCTGGAAAGTTAACTTGTAGGTGATTAAAAAAGTTTACATCTTGCTGCATTAAATTTTGAAACATTATACAGGTATGTGTATATGCTAAGTAATTTTAACACAGTTATTTAAAAGATATTTTGAGTCTGCTGATTTGAATAATAATGGAATGTTGGACGCACTTGAATAGGCTGTAAAGATTTACATTAAAGTCATGGAACACATCTGTAATCCTAGCACTTGAGAGGCTGAGGCAGGGTTGATCAGAAGTTCGAGGCTAATCTGAGCTACATAGTGAGATAAATAATTAATAAATATTGGGGGGGTAGGGATTTTGCTCTGGCACCACACCTGCCTCACAAGTGCAAAGCTTGAGTTCAGTTTCCAGTACCAATAAATACATATGTATACACACACATACATACATACGTGCATACGTATCTGCTTGGGGAAATGAATCGTTTTCAAATTGGCTTTTTGATTTTTCTTTTTTCTTCCCTTCCATTTAGAGTCGAGCTCCAATCTCAGCCAAACTCGTTGCAAATATGCTGTCTGTAGCAGGTGCAGACCATATCATCACCATGGATCTACATGCTTCTCAAATTCAGGTATCAGTAGAAGTTAAATACAGTAATGGGTTAGAAAGTGGGGAGGAGAGGACTGGTGAAGGTGAAGGCTGCGGAGGAGCCACGAGTCATTGACAACATTTAGAGATAATTCATCTTAAGTACAGTTGTAAAGCATTGTGCACGATCTGTCATTTAGGGGGTTAGGTTATGGGAAGATCGTGGGCTTTCAGATCAGACCTAGTTTGAATACTGGTGCGTAAACTTACTAGCTTTTTATTAACCTTGGGCAAGTTATTTTTCTAGACATGCTTTTTCATTATTTTGAGTGTAAAAAAAGATACTCATAATAATTCCTGACCTGTGACATGTGTTCAATAAACGTGAGCTTTATTGTCATGATTACTGTTCCCCTTAAACATTCAGTCTTAAATTTAGAACCGTAGACATTGTAACCTATTGGGGAGTGGAACACGTTTATTTTATACTGCTTGAAGATCCTTTCGTAATCATTATCGCTTGAATTTTATGGCAATATAATGAAGTATATACGACAAGGTAATACCCAATTTATAGGAATGTAATAACTCAATTGAGAAAACTAGAATTAGAACACATGATTCCTGACTACTATATTCTGTGTGGTCATGTATTATAAATAGCTTTACTCAGTGTATATACCATAGCACCTAAAAACCAGCTCAACATTGAATGACATAAAGCAGTAGTAACTACTGAGTCTGAACATTGGCTGGGCAGTTCTTTTGGTCTTGGCTGAATTTAGCTATTCATAAGGGCTTACTCAATTCTTAAGGTCTGTTGTGGGGTGACAGGGATGGTTTTGCTGAACCTGGATGCCGATCCCCTCAGCCAAAATTTGAGGAGTTCAGTTTATAATTTCCCATGCCTTCTCTCCATTACTTTGAAGGTTGTAGTAAGGTATTCCCCGCACAAGCTACTAATTTTTTTTTGTTAGTCATTTATAAATGGAGGAGAAGAAAAATAAAGCAAGACTGACCCGGCTTCTTTCTCTAGGGCTTTTTTGATATCCCAGTGGACAATTTGTATGCAGAGCCAGCTGTCCTGAAGTGGATTAGGGAGAATATCTCTGAGTGGAGGAACTGCACAATTGTCTCACCTGATGCTGGTGGGGCCAAGAGGTACGTTGGTAATTTTTTTTTATTGGTACAGTTTAGATACACGTAATGATAACATTAATCATAGGCAATTTGTAGCTGTACATAATATATCTTGCTGCTTTTTTTCCCATCTCCCTTCCTTATGTACAAAAGCTTTGCTTCTATTTTTCCTTTGATTTTTTTTTGTCCCTTCTTTCTAGTTGAAATTAGTATTGTTCCAAATGTACTGAGAAAATCTTTCAGCAATTTTATCACAAGGTGATGCTGTTGTATTCAAGTGTCAGCTTTTAAGTACTTTGGCATGGCTGTACCCGTGGGTGAGATGTGGGTTGTATACAGTTTACTTTTAGTGGCCTGAATTACTACGAAGTAGACAAGAAAAAAGTAGCCCTAAATAGTCATGTGAGCTTAACTGTAAGTACAGTAACTGTCTTACTTTTGGATAGTGAGACAAAATACCTGACACCAAAAGTTAAAGGAGGAAAGGTTTATTTCAGCTCAGAGTCCATAGAGGTTTCAGTCCAAGGTTGGCTGACTCCAAGGCCAGGTGTCATGGCAGGAGGGAATCACAGGAGAAATAATAATCCATGGCCAAGCAGGCAGAAGACAGTGAAGCAGCAAGCAGGAGCAGTAAGCAGCAGCCAGTCTTCCTTCCCTCTTTCCCTTTATCTTCCACCCAGGCTACAAACCTGTTGATGGAGCTGGTCCCTGTGGTGGGGCTTCCCTTATCCACCCCTTTAATCCCAGCATCATACATCCTAATCCAGCCTGTGTTGAAACTCCTCACATATTACCCCATGAGGCTTTGGGGAGACATCTAGATACAAGCCAGGACAGTAACATTAGTAACTTGGCATTACAAAGCTAACATTGATACAAACTTATTGGGAAGGGTAGAAAATTGCTATAAACTTATTGGGAAGGGTAGCAAATTTGATTTTCCAATGAATGGCAACTGCTGTTAGACCCCATATTAGTGGATGAGCAAACTTTGGCATACCTTTTATAGTGCTGTTGGTTAGATCATTTTGATCCTTGGAATCAAAGTATTAAGCAGGAAGGAAAATAGTGTGGTGTTTTTATTTAAAACCAAGACTTTAAAATTTTAAGCAAAATAATTGCCATTTATAGTGCTTTATAGCTCACATGGTACAGCATAGAGCAAGAGCCCTTGATTTTCTTAGTGGATTAGTTGTTAGTAAAGCATTCAACAGTATGACACATTCTTATTGTGGAAATAGAATGAAGAGCTAGAAAACAGATGATTAGGAAAAGCTAATTCAGGACTGTCTAAAAGCCATTCAGATCTTCGATGACTGTTTCACAACAGCCTGTTTATTTCATAACTTCAAGGAAGTGATAAACTGAGAACTTGGAGTTTTGTTATCCAGCCAGAAAGAAGTATGGCTTGATGAGTCCCATGTCTTCACTGGTTACCATCTGCAGTATTAGATACAGCATGAAACTGCCCCAGTTGGAAGTTGTCATACCATCTCCTTAGGCATGATCTTCACATCTTGCTAGTGTACTTAAAAGGAAATGAATGGTCACATTTGAAATAATGAAGCAGGATTTTCGTTGGGTATAGGAAACCTAACTTCAGCAGATGAATTACTACTTTTGATAATTTTCTTTATTAAAATTGGCTATAGTGGCAGGGTCTTTTTTGGGGGGGGCGGTTGTTTGTTGTTTTTTGAGACAGGGTGTAGTTGACACTGACCTGGAACTCACTATGTAGCCCAGGCTGGTCTGGAACTCACAGCGATCCTCCTGTCTCAGCCTCCCCAGTGCTGGGATTGCAGGTGTGCACCACCACGCCCGGCTAGTGGTGGGGTATTTTTAAAATTAATTTTAATAGTACGTTTAAGAGTGATGGAGTATTTTCCAAGGGAGTGCTATCACTTCTTTCTCAGCAGAGGTTGAGGTGACTCAGTGTGGCCTCCGTTATCTACCCCCTTTATGTTTTCCTAGTCAGTATAATGGCCAGCATAGATGGTTTGGGACACTAGGATTAATTATGCATATGCACTGGCTAAGTAATCATCCCAAGCAAATTAGTTATCATTAATGTTGACGTCCTAAGCAATAGTAATAGAGAGTGGAGTGTAATTTGTTTAAATTAAATTATGAACATTGCCTAGAGTTCAAGCCTTACTGTACAGTCACAAGTTCTCCCCTATCCAGCAAAAGTTCAGACATGTGGCTATAGTCAAGGAAAATAGGACATAATACTATAATTTGATCAATGTGTGCTTGTGCTTGTTTTGGGTTTTTTCAATTTTATTTATTTTTTTTTTGGTACCGAGTAACAAACTTGGGACCTTGTGCTGGTGAGGCGGCAGTGGAACCACTGAGCTAAATCGCCGGCCCTGTGTTATGTTGTAATAAGGGAAAAAAATCTGTTTGGATTTGGAGGTACTTCGGGCTGTTAATTGTTATAACTTACTTTCTAGCATTCATAAAAGGAACTCTCAAGCCTGGTGTCCAGGTACAGTTGACACTGACTGTTGGTGGATATTTTGCCACCATCACAGAGGGTAATGAACAGGCTGAGCACTGCTCCTCCCCTGCCAGCTTCAGTTTCACCTAGTTCACCTCACTACATCCCCAATCACGGTGTTCAATGGACTTTAGAACCATCTGTGTATCCCCTACAGCAGTCAATGACGTTTTCTCTGTTCCCTTCTACTGCCATTCTGTTAATGTGCCTTGGCGTTATACTGTGTCCCAGGACTGGTGACGGTATCTGTCAGTCCCCTTCCCAGAATGAATGGTTATCTAAGTTTGAGTAATGCATTCCTAAACCACTGGACTATAGAGGCATTAGTCCATTAAACCCATTTTGTGAGGTTTGCCTTTGAAACATCAGTGATAGTTGCTTTCATCCAGCCCTGGGAACTGTTCGGTTTCAAGGAATACCTCCACCTTCTTTTTGGTTAGTGCTGGGGATGGAACCTAGGAACTCGCCCTTTACCACTAAGCAAACACCGCCAGCCCCTAAGAAGTCACATACACGTGTTTAACTTTGAACGCCCTCTATTTTGCAGAGTTACCTCCATCGCAGACCGGTTGAATGTAGACTTCGCCTTGATTCACAAAGAACGAAAGAAGGCCAATGAAGTGGACCGCATGGTGCTAGTGGGAGATGTGAAGGACAGAGTGGCTATTCTTGTGGACGACATGGCTGACACTTGCGGCACAATCTGCCATGCAGCTGACAAGTGAGTGATCAGTAGTTAAAAGTAAAAACAGGAAAACTACTATCAAATGCCACCAGCTTACTGATTCCTTTTTGTAACTGAGTTGAAGGAACAAGTAGCTTATTAGGAATAAGTCGGGAGATTTTCATCACCCTAGGTTTGAATTATCCTAAATATAAATTGATAAATGTTCTTTTTTCAAGTTCTCTGAGTTCTTCCTCCAGTTTTTTTTTTTTTTTTTTTTTT